AAGGCCACCACCTCGGGCTGTGGTAAATGCTGGCCGTAGAGGGTATGGTTTAGTTATAGCAAGAAGGTGCATGACACTGAGGGGAGAGCCTGAGTGGGGTGAAGAGATGCAGGAGGGATGTGACAGGGTCGTGTGCGCATGAGGGTCTGGATGATGAGGGAGGTTTGGGGGGACATTTACTCACAGCGACCAACAAACACAGTGATTAAGGACACAATGAAACTGCTACTGATGGTCTCGGTCAGCAAGGCTGGTCACGTCGGGGTAAAGAATATTTGGGGAGCCTACCAAGAGCATACTGACTCCAGCCAATGGAGGTCGGGGGGGACCCATCTGCTTCCCCCTAAAATGTCAACTCCATGAAGGAGGGACCTGCACGGCATTTATCAATGAATCAGTCAATAAATACCTGATTCCTTAGGAGTCACTGTATAAAATAAAAAATATACAAAGCAAGCTATTATTTTGGATCCTTTCTGGGCTCAGATTATTAGATCTTCCTGAGACCCGGAATGAACTCCATGGGCACGATCTTATCAACTCCTCACAATGTTCTGGACGGTGAGTACTAATAAAACCTTAATCTGGCAGATCAAAAACCAAGGGGCAAGGAGTGTAGAGGTGGTTAATGGAATAGCAGGAGGTAAAGTCAGAGCTCTGTTTTTTAAGTCCTTTTGTATGTGGTAGCATCTGTTAGTCACATTTCCAACAAGCCTTTTCTGTCTCCTTCTTTGTTAAGGAAATCTTGGCTTTTGTTTAGGTATTAAGATGTGCTTAGAGGAAATGTACTGCACTGTGGAGATAATTTATACTTGATTTGCAATGGTCATCTTCACCCAGTTCTTCTTGCCAGTGATTAACTCCGGAAGACATATGGAGATGTTTGTCAGAGGCCCTGAGCAACAGTTTTGGGCTTATGAAGCAAAGGCAGCACCCACCGTGAAAGACATACCTGCCCCCGACTCCCTTATTTCCTGCTTGGAAAGTCATTATGCCCTGTGAGGGCAGTGCCCTGTGACCATGAGAGAAAAGCTGTGGGGTCCCAGAGACCCCAGACTTCATGCCCAGGAAGCAGCAAGGCACTGACCGAGCCTGGCACCACCTACGCTGGGGATTCCTGATAAGTGGACAAGAAACATTTTGAAGATTCAAAGTCACTGTTAGCAGCAGCCAAATACAATTAGGCACATGCTCCCTCCTGAAAAACAAATCAGGCAGATAAAAGATGGTCTAATTGACTTAGGCGGCCATTCCTTAGGAGAAAAAGGCAAGAATATTTGGGGTGGAGGAAGAAGCTCTGTGGCAGCAGTCAGGGGGTCCAGCTCCAGGTGTCAGATCACGTAACCTCTACCCACTCGCTTATCCCTTAAGGCTCAGTTTCCTCAAGTTGGAAGGGATTCTAGACAGTGATACTTAATGACACTATATCTACACTATACCTACAATCTGAGACCAAGAGGCCAAGGGAAGGATGAGACTTCCTTGGATGGTTTCCTGCAAGTTGATGTATGCCCCGAGTCAGCAAAATCTCCAGCAGTGCAATAGAAAACGCTCACCCCGCACAACTGAGCTGCCAGGTCAGCCCCCTTAGAGAGGAGGCTGCCCAAATTCCATCTGTTCAGAGGGCCCCCTGGGGCATGTCAACAGCTATTACATTCCCAGGACCATCTATCTGACGCCCCCCCCCCCCCTTGCCTCCTCCCTGCCCTATTAATTCTGAGACTCCCAAGCTTCCTTCTCTGGAAACTAAATCAATCCTTTGCAAAGTGAAAATCAGCTCTTGGGCGCTTGTGCTGATTTATAAAGAAGGAAGGATTCCATGCCACTGGCCTACACTGGCCATGTCAGCCCTGCAATCGTGGGTTCCACCTGGACACCTGAGGGCCCACGTGGGTCCTGGTGAGGGCCCTGGGGATGCGTTCTACGTGCCTCTGGTCTGCATCCTATGATTTCAGGCCTGGATTTAGGGGCCATCAACTAGGAGTCTACAGTCACCATTTAGTTTCTTTTTAAAATAAAGATCAAATCAAGACAATGAGAAGCTAGGGCACAGACCAGGAGGTGACTCTTGCAAAAGACACACCGTTGGATAAAGAACTGTTATCCAAAATATACAAAGAACCCTTAAAACTCAACAACAAGAAAACAAACTAATTTTAAAAAGGGCAAAGGCTTTAACGAGCACCTTGAAGAAAATACACACAGGCAAATAAGCACATGGACAGATGCCCCACATCACATCACCAGGGAGACGCAAGTAGACAAGCAACGAGACAGGCCCATGAGTCTATCGGGATGGTCAGATTCTGGAACACGGACAATATCAAGTGCTGGTGAGAATGTGGAGCACAAGGACCTCTCATTCACTGCTGATGAGAATACAGACTGGTACAGCCGCTTGGGTCACAATTTGGTGTTTGCTCATAAAAGGAAACATATGCTTAAATGATCGAGCATCACGTTTCTTGGTATTTACCCAAAAGAGTTGAAAACTTAGGTCCACATAAAAACCTGCACACACATGTTGACAGCAGTCATAACTGCCCCAACTGGGAAACAACCGAGATCCTTCAGTAGATGAATCGGTAAACTGTGACACATTCGGACAATGGAATATTAGTCCTTTAAAAGAAATTATAAAAAGAAATAAGCTATCAGCATGGAAGAAGCCAAAATGCATATTACTTACTCACTGAAAGACGTTTAGTCTGAAGGGCTACATAGTGTATGATTCCACTAGATGACACCCTGGAAAAAGCAACAGTATGGACACCACGCCATCACCACTTGTCCAAAGACACGCAGGACAGACAGGCAATATGCTGTACCAGACTGAGCGCATGCTCTGGGTCAGACACAAGGGTTGAAATCCCAGCACCAGGATTACTAGGTGACCTTAGATACAGCTCCCCAAGCCTGTGTCCTTGTGTGTACAAATGGGACAAACACCCTCCAGCCACTGCGGTGACTATGAAGGTGACACGAGGGGACACCTTGCCTCACCAGACCTCCAACCATCCACCTCCTCTTGTCCGCTCAGACACCCTTTCCTTGACCACAGAGGTGACCCTGCAAGTCCATCGCTGCTCAGGTGGTCTGTCTGCACCTCCTGGACTGAGTCACAGCATCACCTTGGCAAACACCAAAGGCAAAATTGCACAAACATGGGCTCTCTGGATGAGAAAGTCCCCTTGACTCCCAGTAGTCACCCAGGAAGCCAGCAGGAGCTGCCACCACCATGCTGCAGCCGTGATAATAAGGTTGCTGGACACCAGGGTGGCCAAGAGACAAAAGGACATGTAATCATCACTGACATTGCCAGTTTGAATTAACAGGGATCGGGGGTTTCTGCTGAAAATACAGCAAAAGTCAGTGTCTTAAAGTATTTCATACAACTGTAGATGGTCAAGCTTGGTTTGGGGTTTGCAGTTTTTGGGGTTTTTTTGGTTGGTTTTTTGCCCTTATAAAATCTATTTAAACTTAAAGGCTGCTAGCAGATTATTTTTTTAATAATTAAAAAAAAGTACTAAAATTCTGTGTTTTAAAACTCTGGGTGGTGGTCTTGCTTCTCAAGTCCTTTCTTTTCTTTGGATATGCTTGATTTCTTCTGGTTCCTGGATGGTCTTATATGACACAGCTATCTCATTTTAAATGACCTTTTCATTAAGCAGGAATGGACAGAGACCCATGGGGACAATTCTTTCTGCAGAAGTTTTCTTTGTTTTATATACTATTTCAATCAAGGGTCAGCAAACAATTACCTAGAAGTTAAATCCAGACCTCTGCCTCTTTTGTAAATAAAGTTTTATTAGAACACAGTCATGTCTATTTGTTTACACATTGTGGCTGCTTTTGTGCTGGAGGCAGAGTTGAATAGTAATGACAGGTCATCTGAGTCTGGGCAATGTTTGCCACCCCCTGCTTGACAGCAAGTATTAGGACGCATAATTGCACAAGGTTTTCGTAGCACTTAATCTCTATAGTAGTGAAATAATTCTGTTTGTTTTAGCCTGCTTGTCCAGCTGTCTGCAAGTTCTTTGACAGGTAAAGACTGTCTTCCTGGATCAATATTTTTTCCTAGGGTGGAGCACAGAGACTGGAACACAATGTACAAATGATAGATATATGTTGAATGAATAAATAAACCAAGCCGCTGGATAGATGCTGGGTTACTGAGGACCATTAATATGTCTTAATCTTGAGTAAGAACCTGACTCATAATAACTTCTCAATAAATGTACTTACACTTATCAATCAATTCACTAACTATAAATTTAGTGACTGGATATGTTTTGCAGGACACTTAGTGGCCAAGACAAACCTTTGTCTATATTATGATGACTCTCTTCTACAGTACACCTTTCATACCTATTCTTTCCGGCTTCTCTGCACAAGGCAGAGAAGATTCTGGTTTTGATGCTTGGCTCTGATGGTGCTGTTCTATCAGTGACTCACAAAGCTGGTAGTCTATGCTGAAGAATCCATCTGTATGCTCATAAGTTGTCCCCAAATCTGAGGGTGTGCTCAACCCAGCATTCATCACTAAGGCAGATAGCCATTCAGCCCATTAATACTTGGATACAAGGAAAACCAGGATCAGATACCAGAGGATTCTGGAAGGACTGAGTGGTAGACACCTCTGACCTGCTGCCTAAAGAACATATTTGTCCTTGAATACGGACGCTGGCTGAATATAAAGAGGAGAGAAATCAAACTTTCAAGAAGGCAAAAAGATTTGGGAAAAGAAACAAGAACTTGAGAGGCAGATCTGAGTAAGATTCAACCTCCAAAACTTACTAGTTGGATAAACTTAAGCCAATTAATTAAGCCCTCCGAGATATAAAAAAAAATTTTTTTCACAGCAAAATGGGTGTAAAATGACAACTTTGCAAGGACATTTGCTAGATTTAAGGTACCCAACAGGGACGGGTGCTATGCAAATTTCTCTACTCATTGCCCTTCATCTGTTAACACCAAGATCTTTGGAAACTTCTACTTACCGAGCATTCCTTTCTTGGCACTGGACAGACACATGTCTTTCTCTGCACTGGGCAAGGCAAAACTCACTACAAACACCTCCACTCCATCAGCCATCAGTGCCAAACCCAAGACAAAAAAGAGGATCCACTGGAAGCGCCCATGACCACACTCCTCAATGATGGTCTCATACTGGTGGGCCAGCTGCTCCTCATCTTCCATCCTCTCAGCCATCATATCTGCCCGGCCCCGAAAGCCATCAGCCCTGGAGGCCGCCATCTTGGTCTGTTTAACTCTGATGTCATCTGGGTGAGGGATGCCCTGGTACTCGCCCTCGTAGATCTCATCCTCCTCATCATGACCTTCTGTGACATCACTCTGTGCATCCTCTTCTGGGTTGGACTCACCGCCACGGTAATAGCCATCACTGGGGTTATAGCCCCCATAGTGGCCCTGGTAGTTGTAGTCATCCATCCCTTGGTTGTGGGATTGCCTGGCTGCCTCTTGGGCTATATCTTTTGTTCTGTGGTAGAGGTTTTGGCTGTTTCAATGACCATCACTCATCCATACGTGCAAAGACTTAGATTTAGAAGGTGTTCATGGGACTTCCTGGGTAAAGGTGACACCTGTATTCCCCCCTCTGGTCTCTCAAATAGTGCAAATTTGTACAAAGGTGACCTAAGAATCCTTTTCAATTCAATGACTATTGGAAATTTTTGGAAAGTTTCAAACTCTGGTCTGGTTTTCTTCAGTGACCCTGAGATGTTGTGTTGGGAGAGGTTGACGAGAAATAGGTTCAGCTGTCTGCCTTGACAAGGAGCACGTAGACCTGGCAACAGACGACGTGCTGGCTGGCCCAGTTTGTTCTTCTACTGAAGGTTATGTCCTAGGAGTGCAGACAAAGGAAAGACGAGAGTGTTACCACATGCTGAAATGCAGGCAAAATATTCTCAGATTTAAACAGATATTGACTAATACCAATGTCTTGTGTATAAAGGAAGGAAATCCAGATGAGATATTCAGATTCCTTGTGAAATGAATGAGGCTTGAATAAAAGAGACTGAAGGCTAAGGGAGAAAGAATCTTGATCATTCAGTCCCTCAGAAGGGTGACTAGCCCATGAAAGGGCTCACATCTTGCACAAGAAGAAAAGAGATGTGCTAAGGGATTTTCCACATACAATGATTCTGTGTTATGGGTTTTCTATTAGAACTTATCAAGCTCCGGGAACAGTAAGGGTTTGTTACAGCTCAACTCCTCTTATGAAAATGCCAGATTTTCTAATTTTGCAAGAAGTGACTGTATAATTTGACATCTAGAATTGTGTGTCAAAGAAATGTCCCAGACCTCTGTTCCCAAAATCCAGTTGACATTGGAGACTCAACATTAAGGTCTGAGACCCCTGGGGTCTTGTAATTGGCTTAAACAGGTGGGAACAGTTGCTGAAGACCCAAAACAAAGAGCTTGGTTCTGAAACTTGACTCGGTCACACAATGGCTGTGTGACCATGCAAGACTCTTTCTGAGACTCAATTTTCTCATCTGTAAATGGAAATAACAACATAGCTACTTAGAGTTAAGATTGTGTGGAAAGTGCTTAGTGCTGTGCCTGACCTACATGGCCAAAGCTATTTAAACCTTGATTCATTGCTGGTTTTTGTGTCCTAATTCCAATTCCAGAAGCTAGGACCCACGGTGGTCAGAACCAAGAGCTGACCCTCTACCCCAGTTCCAATCACTGGGGTCCTCTGTTGACTCCAATGCCCATCAGGGACAGCCTGGGGACATAATTACATTCCTAGCATCTAAGCACTTATAGGATTTGGAGCCATGGTTGAATGAGGCCCACTATGTGCCAGAAATTGTACATCGCTAATTCTCACATCAAGAAAAAAGATAAAGCAGCTGTGGCTCTTTAGATAAAGCAGCTGTGGCTCTTTAGATCAAAGGTTAGATCAAGTCACATAACTAGGACTTGATGCCAAGTCCTTGATCCCACAGTCAGCGCTTTGCATGGCCCCTGCTTTCTTTTTTTTTTTTTTTAAGTAATAAATTTTATTTTTATATTCCCCCATACAATTGCAAACGTCCCATTCTGACCCCAATCCCTCCCCTCCCGCCCCCCACCCCCCAAAAAGTGTCTCTGGTTCATAGTTTTTTGTTGATTTTGATTTTCACTTTCTTATAGTTATTCATTTTCCTGGTCCCTTATTTAAGTTTTCTAGATTCCTGCTATGAGTGAGACCATCCGGTATTTTTCTTTTTCTTTCTGGCTTATTTCGCTGAGCATGATCCCTTCCAGCGTCATCCATGTTGCTGCAAATTGCATGTGTTTATCTTTTTTGAATGCTGAGTAATATTCCATGGTGTATATGTACCACATCTTCTTGATCCAGTCATCTATTTTTGGGCATTTGGGCTGTTTCCAAAGCTTAGCTATTGTAAACAGTGCTGCTGTAAACATCGGGGTGCAGGTGCTCTTTGGAATTGATGTTTCTGTGTCTTTTGGGTAAATATCTAGGAGTGGAATTGCTGGATCCTATGGAAGCTCTATGTTTAGTAGGTCCAGAAATCTCCACACAGCTCTCCACAGTGGTTGGACCAGTTTGCACTCCCACCACCAGTGCAGGAGAGTTCCTTTTTCTCCACACCCTCGCCAACATTTGTTGTTGCTAGTTTTTTTAATATGTGCCATTCTCACTGGTGTGAGATGGTATCTCATGGTAGTTTTGATTTGCATTTCCCTGATTACAAGTGATGTTGAACATTTTTTCATATGTCTGTTGGGCACGGCCCCTGCTTTCTAAAGCCTGTTTCGAGGAAGTGTCATGTGAGATCACCTGGGAGCTTTAAGAAGACAAATGACCAAGCCAAAGGGCTGGTTCAAGCTGAGAAATATGAGTTTTCACACAGTTCCCTGGTGGTTCCAAGGCCAAACTTATCTTGGACAGCCCCTAGGGTGGAGGCCAGACCTCCCCAATGCCTCTTCCCACAGTCCAACTCTCCCCGTCCACCAGGCCTTCTCGAACAGATGCATGGACACTCAAACCCCTTCTTTAGGGCTGCTAGAAACCCACTCCCCAGCTCAGCCCGCACACAGAGAATACATACGCCACCTACCAAACACGGCCCCACCATACCTCAGAGTACCTCGTCCTTCCACCAAGCTCCACAGATGTGGCCTCACAGCAGACTGGGTCTCTGCCTCACCATCTCAGCTGGATTCCTCCGCTGCGCACTGTCCACCCTGCCCTTCCGTCCCATACTTGCCTGCCCGGCTCTCCTCACCCTTGGTCCTGGATGATTTCAGTCTCAGAACTCACTGGACCCAAATACAACCCATTTCTTTTGGGAGAGACACCAGACACCAGTGCTTCTCATAGTCAAGGTGGACCAGAACTACTCAGGATAGGAGGGGCTGACTCCTCCCCCAAATACTGTGAACCTGCCTTACGGTGGGGTAGGACCTGGGAAACTGTATTTTCTAGAAACATCAAACAGAGTCCAGTGGACTCTGCTTTGAGGCAGCAAGAAATATTTGCCAAAAATGATTGTCATTTGATGTTTTCAGATTTTCCACCATCCCAGTAAATAAATTTGTAACAGACCATACCGGTCGGAACCACGTCAGATTAATATTCTAAATCTGTTTTATTATATCCATTTAGGGATCACAAGAGAAATATAAATCCCATGTAAACAGCACGAGGCTTCTGCAGACTGCTATAAAAAAAAAAAGAAAGAACGCCAACTGCCTGAGCACTGGTGTGTTATCTCCATCCTGGGGGTTCTGCAAAAATGCCACGAAGCAGGAATGATAGTTTGCAAATTGGAAGCATGTGCAGAACAGTGAGTTGGAGCAAAGGTCCTGGGAATTACCACAATGAATAAGGGCAGGTGGAGATGGCAGACCCTCTGTGCTTAAGACAGGAACCGCGACACCCGAGATAAGCTCCATCCTCCTGACCTCTCTTAGGAATTCAGGGAGGGACTGAGGCACACAGGGTGAAGCCTAAGAAATGCTATTTGAGAACCTTCTTGTAATTCTAGTTCACATGAACTGGAGACAGGAAGGTCAGTGAGGCCAGATGGGTGCTGGTGACAAGTGCGATGCGTCACTTAGGGCACACACCTCTTACACAGATCCATCTGGACAGCTCAGGTCATGCCAATGATAAGTGCAAGGAGAGAGGCTTAGTTCAAAATATTGTCAGTTGTGAAAAGAAAGATGGCCACACCACTGGAGAGATGACCTGGATTACAGTCCTATCCCTGCCGGCAAGGCTTTGTGGGACTGTGGATAAGCCACTCCCTTCTAGACCCTGTTATCTGTCGCTGAAACAAGGGGCTGAACTGGATGATGTTTAAGGTTCTTTCCAGTTCTCTGACTTAGGATTTCTTTGTCTATCTGTGACAATATTTTTTTTTTGTGACAATATTTTGAGTCAGCAAAGTCATAATAATACTATTTTAATATTATAGCCTAGTGTCTATTTCAAGCTAAGAACATTTAAACACTCATCAATCATTTTTTGGCTCTTTATTCTTAAATATTTAGAATTACTCCCTGAGGTACTGTGACATTCTGCATATATCTCCATTATTACATTATATTCTAAGTGTTCTTGTGTCTCTGCTGGGAGGTAGTGAGCAATTCCGGGATAAATAAAGCCCTGAGTGTAACTTATTGCTGAATCCCTAGCACTAAACAGAGTCTTTAAACACAGAAGATCCTTGAAAATGTTTGCTCCATAAAAGAGGCTAATAGTTATTCTTGCCTGTTTAAAAGAAAGTCAAAAATGGCCCATGGGCCAGAGTGCCTCAGCTTTTACTATAAATAGACCAATTGGTTTACCTTTGCTAAAAAAAAAAAAGTTGGATCAGTTGACATCCTAAGACACTGCCTTTCACAAAGGGGCCATTTACTCTCTTATTTCACCAAATGAAATTAATGAAATTAACACCAAGTCCCAGCTGAGCTTGCTGGGGGTGTGGGGTTCTAAGGACAGCTTGGTTTCTTGGATATGCATAAGGTTCTACTGGTGACCACTGAGAAGACTTGCTAGCAGACAGCTGAGCCCCCCAGCCTGCACCCTAGGCCCTCAGGATTCCAGCTTCTTCCCTTCTCTTCCAGAATATCCCTCTGCAATTCCACTTCACTTTACAATCAAGTACAGTCAACAAAAAGTATGGGTGGTGAGCAGGCATGCGAACATCCCCACTGGCCACTCGGGAACATGCGTGCCCTAAGCAGACTCGGAAATTGACAAAATTATGCATGAATCTTAGCAAATTCAGGTAATGTCAAAGTATCGCGTGATGGCTTCTCCATGAGGGTCAGTGAGGGCAGCAGGAGCTTAGGCGGTGTCTTAGGGGGTTTGGGGAGGGTGGCTGAAGATGCATACTTTCCATAAATAAATACATACATGGCAGGACCTGCACCGTGGAGGGAGAGAGAGCAAACCTGGCTCTCAGGTCCCTTATGATCGGTGAATAGAAATTTTACTGAATCTAAGAACAACAGATTTTCTGTAAAGAGACTCACGACATTCTCTATCTCCTCGTTTTCAGAACTGTTGGAAGCACGTCCCCAAAGAGAAAGCACAGAATTGCCTTAGACAATTTAATGCTCTGATATGGGGCACGGGCTAAGAATTCGGATCTCTTTCTAAAAGATTTGAG